TTTCTATTCTTTGAATGCTTTACAACTGGTCACGACTTTTATACTTGCCATTTTGTACTCTCAAACGGCTTGTGTAAATCTATAGTTTTTTCTTTATGTTGAGAAAATGAAAAATATTGAACGAATGCGGTGGGTAAGGTGAGCGTAGATAACTTTGGAAGCGTGAAAGGACTGGTAACTATTGTCTATTGTTACTTGCAAATGCTTGTAGTGTTGTATTCTGTTTTTAGGAGACCTTTTATCTTTCCACTTTACTCATATCTTGTTTAGGCGAAGGAAATTCTCGAGAAAGAGTCTAACGTCCAGGAAGTGAGGTGTCCTGTTACCGTCTGCGGTGACGTACATGGACAGTTCCACGATTTGATGGAGTTGTTCAAGATGGGAGGAAAGAGCCCCGATACGAATTACCTTTTCATGGGTGATTACGTTGATCGTGGTTATTACTCAGTTGAAACTGTTAGCCTTTTGGTATGCTTAAAGGTCAGTTCTTCAAATCAGTTCCTATTAATCATTTTTTAGATTCAAAGCAAAAATCTGCCAGCAATTTGTGTTGCTTGCCAAAGTCACATTTTATACATCAAAGAGAACAATCAACATCAGAAAATTTGTATATGTTGCAAGAAGTTGTATTTCAGATCAGGTACAAAGAAAGGGTCACTATTCTCCGGGGCAATCACGAGTCTCGACAAATTACTCAGGTATGAAGTTCTTTGATTTTTCCAAGGGTCATTGTTTTCTACTCATTCTTGTATGAGGTATTTAATGCTTTGGCTAATTTTTTTTAAAAACTGTCTTGTAGGAACTGACTTGTTCTATCATAAGCAGTGAAGTTCGAAAACAACTGTTGAATAGTTCTTTCTTTGTCTTTCTTTTACTGTTTCTTTCCTCAATTCACATATTTTTATGCAGCTGCGAAGCCAGGTTTCTGTTACACACTAAACATACTTCGATCCGAGACATGTGATTCTAAGAATTTGAACTGCTTTTTATTGCAATTATTCCATGAATTTTTTTCTGTAATGAGGATGTGGTGCACTTTTTCGAAATAACAGCTTGTGGTAGGGATTTGTTTAAGATTTGCGGCGCTTTAGTTCTACTTGACATCAGGACTTTTGATTTAGGTTCGAACATGTCAATGTGTTTTTT